ATCTGTCAGTTTTGATTTCTCTTGCATTGTTTTTTTTTAAAGATGTTTACATTCTTTCCATCCTGAATATAAGTATCTCTGCAAATTTTGGCAATTTAAAAATGAATTCAACTGAAATTTGGCACTCCCATTCCTGTTAGTAGAGAACCAGTGTTTGAATTTGACAAAGGTCACCCACAGTTGAAGTTAGTGATATTTTGAAAGGCAAATTTTCTCCCTGAGGTTGAGTGCTGTGCTCTGAGTGCTGGCTCAAAATGTTGTCAAGACATCTGCAGCTATTTTCTTGACACTTCCTTTATAGTTTTCTCCTTGTTCTTCTTGCTTAAAAGAAAACCTTGGCTGGAAAACATTTAATATCAGCAGGCAGCAAAAGATAGGGAAATTCTTGCACCAGACAAGAGTGTGCTCTGTACCTTAACAAAATTAGAAGACTGATACAAAGAAGTATGGAATATAGCGATAAATGATAATTGACATGTAGTATTTAGACTGAAAAAGAAATTTGGAAATGAAATGATTTTTTTGGAAAATATCGGGGAAATTTATAGAATATGTGCTTGCTAAAGGCCAAGGGAGCAAATATGCAGTGGAAACAATGATGTTTTGGAAATAATATATTAAGCGCTTGTGTCCGGGGGGAGGTAACACCCATCTTTATTTATTTAGAGAGGTTTGTTTTGTGGATTTGTTAAAATTGGTAAAAATGTTGAAGCTCAAGTCAACAGTGTGAAAACATAATAGAAGTCCTGTTACTGTCCTGGTTAAGCTTGTAGAGTGTACTCCCCCCATTACTACAACTGGCAGCTCCCAGCAGTGGCTAATTAGTGGGGCTGCTAATTAGTGTTGGAGACTAAGATAGCTTTGGGTGCAAATTGCCTGGATTGACTATAGTTTGGTCTAATATACATAGAGCTCAAATTCCCTCAACTTCATGACCATAAGAGGTGTTCAACAGTGGAACCCTCTGCCACAGATTGTAGTGGAAGCTCCTTCCTTGGAGGCTTTGAAACAGAGGCTGGATGGCCAGCTGTCAGAGGTGCTTTGATTGTGCTTTTTCTGCATGGCAGGAGTTTGACTAGATAGCCCATGTAGTCTCGTCCAACTCTATTATTCTATGATTCTATTCTATGGTTCCTCCTACTAGGACTAAGAAATAGTATTTTGGGACTATTATCTACTGATCTTGGAGCCCCCGGTGGCACAATGGGCTAAGCACATGTGCTGGCAGGACTGAAGACTGACAGGTCAGAGGTTCGAATCCAGGGAGAGCGCAGATGAACTCCCTCTGTCAGCTCCGGCTCCCCATGTGGGGACATGAGAGAAGCATCCCACAAGGATGACAAAATATCAAAACATCCGGGCGTCCCCTGGGCAATGTCCTAGCAGACGGCCAATTCCCTCACACCAGAAGCAACAAGTTGCTCCTGACATGGGGAAAAAAATCTACGGATCCTGCATCAATGTATTCAACCATCTACAGCTTGAAAATAGACAAAATATATACAAAAAAGCAAAGCTTCCTTTTTCTGTTGTTGTTTTTTTTTGTAAGGGACGACATTTTATGATGTCATTGTATATCATGAGACTTGGGCATCCATGTATTTTGGTACCCATGGGGTTCATAGAACCAGTGTACATATCCTTGAATTCTCAGCCAGCATAAGCTATGGTTGCAGCATTTGACAAGGTTAAATACCTGATTAACTTGAGCTTTATATCAATGGTCATTGGGTATTTGTACGGGGCTGCTGATAAGTCTTTGGCTTTGTGTTCTTGTTTTGTTTCTGTGGTAACAAATGTTACATCACACGAAAGCCTTATGTATCTAATATATGTTTTCAAAATTTTGTGTTTGTAGCTTATGGCAACAGTGATCTAGGCACGTGGGAAAGCAAAATGGCGGAGTCTAAGGCGATATTCACAGCAAATGAGAGCAGAGGAGTGATAAAATTCTTATTTCTGCAAGGAAAGTCTGCGAAGGATATTCATGGTGATATGTCGCAGATATTGGGGGATCAATGCCCTTCATATTCTACAGCTAAGAACAGGGTTGCCAAATTTAAAATGGGCCACTTCAGCACCAATGATGAGGAACATCGTGGATGACCAATAGTGGATGTTTTTCTGGAGATCGTCGATGCTGTGCACAACCTCATACTGGAGAATCGGCGAATTTCAGCTAAAGGAATAGCCGACATCATGGGGATTTCTCATGAACATGTTTGTGTCATTATCCATGAACATTTGAACATGAAGAAGCTCTCTGCAAAGTGGGTCCCCAAATGTTTGACAACAGATCAGAAAAGCATGTGAGTAAAAACTTCCCAGTATATTTGTCTACATATCCGGACTGATAAGAACTTCCTGGATTGACTGGTCACTATGGATGAGACCTGGATTTATCTGTATGATCCTGAAACCAAGGAGCAATCAAAAGAGTGAAGGTACAGTGGTTCTCCCCATCCAAAGGAGTTCAGGGTGCAAAAAGCAGCCACTAAGGTGATAGTATCTGTGTTCTGGGATAAGGAGGGCGTGCTGCTAGTGGACTACCTTCGAAATGGTTCCACCATCAATGCAAGGTATTACACTGAAGTTTTGGACCAATTGAAGGCAGTTCTGAAGGCCAAAAGGTGGGGCAAGCTGTCCAAAAGAATCTTGTTCCTGCAAGACAATGCCTCTGCTCACACTGCACAAGCGACCATGGCAAAACTGGTGGAACAAGGCTTCCAGCTGGTTGACCACCCACCTTATTCACCAGATCTAGCTCCCCCCGACTATCATCTTTTTCGAAACCTGAAGAAACAGCTCAAGGGTACAAAATTTCACACCATTTCTGATGCCATGGCTGCTACAGATGACTCGTTTGAGGCACAACCAAAATCCTTCTTTTTGCAAGGCTTACAGAACTTGGAATATCGATGTAAGAAGTGTGTTGATATCAGTGGAGAGTATGTGGAATAAATGTAGTTTCATCTTCCTATCTTGTTTCTTTCTAGATAAAGCCAAAGACTGATTAGCAGCCCCTCATATATGCTTGTGTGTTCCAGCAAGTCATCTGCCAACTTGTAGTGATCCCATGAATTTTGTAGGATCTTCTTAAGTAAGGAATAGTCACAGATAGTTTTGCCAGTTCCTTCTTCTGAAATATAGAACAATATAGCAGCACCCAGAGCTTATCCACATTACAATATTATAACAGTACAATTCCACTGTAACAGCACTGATGGCATTCCCTAGAATCCTGTGTAGGGAGGGCCATCCAGAATTCTCAACTAGAGACCTCTAGCGTCTCACCAAACCACCAATCTCAGGAATCCATGGCTTGCAGCCATGGAAGTTATAGTGGAATCATATCACTAACTTTTTCAGAGTGATCCCTGATGATCTCCCTCCACAGTATTAACCAGGCCTGGTTCTGCTTAGCTTCCAGGATCTGACTAGATATGGGGTCATCATGAGTGTCTCTTAAAGTACCCTTTAACATTTAACACTGAATTATGTTTTCACTACATAGTCTCTTCTGTGTTTTTCAGGGTTTTTATGAGTGATGGTCATTTGTTGGTCTGATAAGGTGTATTGTGTTCAAATTTGGTGCCAATTCATCCAGTGGTTTTTGAATTATGTTAGTCCCACAAATGAACATTACATTTTTATTTATATAGATTAAACTTCAAAGTTGCAATGCAATTGCAATATGCTATATGTAAGTCTGGTTGACATTATAATCTGGGCTGTAACATACATGAAGCAAATGGGATGTAACGTGACTTGTGTGTATAGTTCTCTCTCCACAGAGAAAACAAGGTGCCATGGAGTAAGGTTCCAGCCTAGTCTGTTTTATTCTTTTTTTAGACAGAGGTAGGCATTCTGTAGAAAATATACTTCATTTTAAAAAAATGTAATAGTATGCATTCTGTAAACTGTTGTATCACTTTCCAGAAGTACTGAGCAACTGTGCAATTCTAGGAATAATAGGGCCATATCACATTACATTATTGTAGCAGTATTATTCCACTTTAACTGCTGTGGCTTCATCTAGAGGGACTCTAGGGTTTTTAGTTTAGTGAGGTCCTCAATTACTGAGTCTGTGAATTTATAAATGCTCCTCCCTAAACAACAAATTCCAATGTTGCTGTGGCAGATTTTTTTGTTTTGTTTTGTTTTTTGTCATGTCAGGAGCAACTTGAGAAACTGCAAGTTGCTTCTGGTATGAGAGAATCAGCCATCTGCAAGGACATTGCCCAGGGGATGCCCAGATGTTTTCATGTTTTATCATCTCACGTCCCTGCACAAGGAGCTGGAGCTGATAGAGGGAGCTCATCTGCGTTCTCCCCAGATTCAAACCTGCGACCTGTTGGTCTTCAGTCCTGCCGGCACAAGGGTTTAACCCACTGTGCCACCGGGTGCTCCGATGTGCCAGTTAAAGTGGAATAATAGCACTATAACAGTATAGTGCGATAGGTCCCCCAGTCTCCAAAAAGTGACATTACCAAGATGGACTCTTATGTAGTGTAGTGCAATGTTGTCTTTGTCCCCATGCACAACCATTCTGTGAAAGCCTGCTATGTCTCCACATCTTCTGCAAGTATGTGCCCTATTGTTTGTGGGTAAGAAATTTTATGACTTCCATGAAGCCCAGATACAGTCTGAGTACTTTTGTTAAGAGTAATAGGTGCAGCTCATTTGCTTCACTCAACCAGTTTTATTAGCTATAGTACAATTGTCAGCTAGACTAGACCAAACCCGAGTGTTTTATCTTCAGGTTAAGCAAGCATATGTCACCAGCAGGGTGTTGGGTAGATTGCCCCCTCCCACACAATCCACTCTGGGCACACCCAGAAAATTTGCACTGTAAACATAAACTTACAAGTAAATACATAATCAACCCTGGATCAGTAGGAATGCAAGTCATCTTCTATCACCGCTTCATTTACTCCCCATGGGATACTTTTACAAAATGTTACAATTGGTATGTAACATGAAAAATTCCTTCTGAGACAGAAATGAAAAAAATCTTTATTTACAGTAACAAATAAGAATGAACAAAATACAAACCGTTCCCATATTAAAAGGAATCCGGGGGACTCGGTATGGTAGGCCTGCTCATGTTTCTGTTGGTACAAGTTGTCCCACCTCCTGGTCCAAGGCATTCTACCAAGTTGGATGGCTCACTTGGAATGCTGTCACATCAGTGTCCAATATCTTGCTAAGAGGAGATGAAACTGACTTGTGGCTTTGAGCCAGGCTTAGCATTTTGTCTGTTGTGGGGAGAAGATAAAGAGTGGCAGCTTCTCTTGTCTTTACCACACCAATATGATACACCCCCAGCCTATTAAACAGCATCTTGATATCTCTGGCAGGCAGCAGAATGGCCAAGAGGCCCTTGAATAAGCATATCTTGCAGTAGAGAGTGCTGTGTTTTTGGCTTTTGGAGAACTATCCAATCTCACCACCAATATCCAAAAGGATGACTCAGAGATGGAGGAAGAAGTGGGGCAGAGATGAGATATGGTTCCTTTTGAAGGGTTCAGAGAACATGCCAGCTCCCAGGGAAGCCTCTCCAGTCCTTTTTCTCACTGGGTTAAAGGCTGTTCTGGGTATCTGGCTTCTTTTCATCACACCACTGGAAGAACTCAGCTGCATCTACAGTGACAGGGATTGGCCCACAGCAGCTGTGTAAAAGCATTCCTTCTTGGCACACTAGGCCAGCTGCCATTTCTTTGGGCGCCAAGGGGCTCAAGAGCCAGTCAGCAACCAGCACAACTGCCAACTAATTGGCAGCACTACTACATTTAAGGCACTTTCGGCAGCCAGTAACACACCAGAGCTAGAAAAACTCCTCTAGTAGCTGGACGCTGGTGGCTGGACTTGTTGCCCAGTAGATGGCATAGCTTACTGGCATACTAAAACACTGGCAGCATAGCTTGAAGGTAATCTTTGGCCCTGTGTGGATGCACCAGATCCTTGTCAAGCAGCAAAGCTGGCTGTGCAGCTATTCCTTCCCTGCTCTTGGCTCAGGCAGCAGGAACACTGTTATTTGCCAGCTTCCATTAGGAAGAATCTGGTGAGAAGGGAAGAGAGAGATACAGACAGGGAACATATCCACTATGTGAACTTCAAGAGTCCTGCAAATCTTTTGTGTCAGTCTGGTAAAAAGCAGGATTTTTGTTCCAGATGAATCCATGCTGGGCTCATCTCCTGCTCTAAACTTAGCTTCTATGGGCCTTGTCATTTGATAGCAGGAGAGAATAATAGAGAGATCATGGCCAAGGTCTCTCCCTCCTGTACCCAGTTCATGGCTAGAACACCTGTGTTCAAGGAAGACGATCTGGCTCCCAGTTTCAAGAAGAAAAGCACAAGCCACAGCACTCCATGCAGATCTCCAGGCAATCAGCTGACTCACAGCATGCATCTATAATGCCACAGTCCATGTCACAGGGCAGATCACAATCGGCGCATTCCCCAGAGCCGCAGCAGCAGCAGCAGATGCAAGAATCCTCGGAGCTGCAGGAGCCGCAAGTGGCACAGTCCAGCATGATATTGCAGAGGGTCAGGAACTCACAAAAGAGGCAGGAGAGGATGCAGTGGACACAGCAATCTGGAAGCAGAAAGAAATAGAATAACCAAAAGCAGGCAACATGTTGGTTGTGATGGGCATGTGCAAAATGAGAATGGGCAAGCAAAAGAAGATGGCAGGTGACATTGAGCATAGTTGGAGCATGGCAGAGTTTCGCATGGGTGTGGTTTCAATGTTCTACCAGCTGTTAGTTTAGACAAATGTTGGACATGAACATGGGAGGAACCATATTGTTTTTTTTCACATAGCAAAAAAGTATTGTACCAGCCCTGGCATTGACTGCCCCTATTCCAAGTAGCTAGGGTCCTAAAAGACCGCATACACTAAAATAATAACAAGGATCATCAATGCATCTTGCGGTTCTTTTTCTCTCAGTTTCTCTCCCTCTTAGCCAAAGCCTGAAAGAACAAACAAACTCTAAGCAGAACCTCCAAAACATTAAGGAAAGGAGAGAAGTACCTTCCTGTGCTTCAGTAGGAATCTGAGAGGATGCAGATTTGGAGCTGCCTTTGCTCTTTTTGCTGAGCTGACTGTTGATGGAGTGATGTGATTGTAGTTTCCGATGAGGCTTCTGGGAGCCTGAGAGTGACCTGAGTTCAGAACACAAGGCACCATTTCCAGCCTCGCCATTTGAACTGCCAAGTTCATCTGAAACCGGTCCAACACCATTCTGCAGCAGAGGGACGTAAGTTGAAGCTGGAGGGCTCCGGACAGTTACCCGGCCCTGGGGCTGGCCTGTTGGGGACAGAGAGAAGAATTTTTAAAAAGCAACTACATAGGAATGTGTTAAAACATTAACATAGCACTCTTTGAAAAATACATAACACCAACAAATTCTTTCTAAATTACAGCCTAATTATCCTATTATTTCAGAATAATAGATTCCAGGCTCTTTTACAAACCCACTCCCAACCATATGTATTGCATATATGACTGAAAGTCTGAACAACACTCCATGCATCTGAGTAAGTGGGCGGTAGCTCACAACAGCTTATACTGTAATACATTCTTTAGACTTATTTCTGCTGCTACAGCAGAATAATACACAATTGTGGAAATCTTTACAGTGAACGATACAAGTACTGTCTTGACTAGATTAAGCCTCAGTTTTCTGGATATTAGAGTATTATGCTTAGTACAGTTCAGAAACTTGAATTTCAATTTTACTTCCAGTTAGTTGTGAAAAACAATGACACACAGCAGGAAATAGTCTTAATGTGGAACCTTTTCAAGGTTTCTGTTTCATCCTTGGCTTTATCTTTGTTTCTCGGTCACTAAAATTACCCTTCTTTGTATAAAAAAGAGAAGTATGGGGTAGTTTCTATGAAGAAGTTTGCCATATGTGAAGCAGTTCCAAAGTTCTTTTTTATGAAAATTCTTAGCTTTCAACCTAAAGTTTTCTGTTGTGAAGGCCCCTAGCACAAATATAGTCTAATATGTTTGATTAGCTGAAGAATACCAGTTTTTAATGTATGCACACTTATTTTTGAAATGGAGAATCAAAATGTATTGTCTATTATTGCTTTACCTCCTCCAATAAGCAATTCAGATAAGCTCTATCTGAGTTTCTGCATAGTGTTCCTCACCATTACATATTAAGACAGCATGCAGACCTGATAGAGAAAGTCATTCCTCGCTTCTCTGTCTGTTTTTTTAAATAAGAACTTTCCTAAGAAAGAGCATGGAGGGCTCAACAACTTAACTGGATCTGTATGCTTTTTTTGATTGCTTAATAAAGGCATTTCCACAATATAGATACTAAAATGCATCACAGCACAAACTTTAAAGGGCGAGAGTTCACTTTCTTAAGTATTCTTAACATTCTTGCCACTGCTAGTGCCACAGTACAGGGTGACAAAGCCAAAGACAAACAGACTGAGAGATAGCTTTTATCCTAGAGCTGTGGCTATGTTGAACTCCATGGTTTCTCATTGATGTGACATTGGGGGCTGTGTGGCAGTGGTTGGGGTGTGGAGGGATAGATGTGCTGTTTTGAGGTGTGTGCTGAGGAAGGCATTCAATTTAGTTGTGCTATTCTATTCTATTCTAGTTAATATACTTCTACTGAAACTTTGACAAACTTTTGACCATGGTTAAGGATTATGGCCTTAATAATTATATTCGATGACTTAGTGAGTTGTTTCACTTCTGCACTTTATGAGTATTGATAAAACACACAACCTCTATTTTTTTTAGCTTGCTGGGTTTTATAGTATCTTTTAAATTGGGGTTTTATTGCTGATTTAAGCATAATTGGGTAAATTTTATTGTTACTGATTTTTTACTTTTTGTATTTTGTTGTATTTATATTTTGTTGCACTACTGAGTGTTTTCTGTGAACTGCCCAAGTCCCTTTAGGGAGATGATGGTGGGATACAAATAAAGCTTCATCATCATCATCATCATCATCATCATCATATTTCAATGTCTCTGAAGTCAATAGGATGGTGAACCTGTTCTGGAGTTATATCTGAACTTTAAAAGAGTTGTCCAAGGTGCTGAAACTAATCTCGCAATGGATTCGTCACCTTGGAAAACTTCTTTAAAAATGAGACTCCATTTGTCTTGTTAGAAGTTTACGGTGTCTGCAGAACTGTACCAAGATTATTAAAAGGCTAGACTGAAAAGAGGCATAGAGGCACCTTTTTAAAAAACTCTGTGTCTAGATGCTAGCTACAATTCTGAAAGAAGACTATTCTGCAGCTGGACAGTGGTGAAGAAAAAGGCCCAAGAAATGGGCCTGAAAGTAGTGAAGTCTACAAAAGGATTTCTCTTACAGCATGTAATAACCAGACAGGTTCGTAACAAGTCAGGCAGTTGAACAGATATTCAAAGACAAATTAGCATGACATGTAATAATAATAATAATGGTAAAGGTAAAGGTTTTCGCCTGACATTAAGTCTAGACATGTTCCAATTCTGGGGGTTGTTGTTCATCTCCATTTCTAAGCCGAAGAGCCAGCACTGTCCATAGACACCTCCAAGGTCATGTGACTGGCATGACTGCATGGAGCACTGTTACCTTCCCACCGGAGTGGTACCTACTCACATCTGCATGTTTCTGAATTGATAGGTTGGCAGAAGCTGGGGCTAACAGCGGGATCTCATGCTGCTCCCTGGATTCGAACCCGTGACATTTCAGTCAGCAAGTTCAGCAACTCAGAACTTGCACCACCAGGGGCTAATAATAATAATAATAATGTCTAATAATAATATAATTTAATTATAATAATAATTTAAAAACATTATTTATATCCCATCTCCCAGAGGGACTCGGGGCGGCTCACACTCAAAGGTTTAAGCACGCAAAATACAAACATTGTAGAAACAATAACATGAACAATAACAGCCAACATAAAGATTTCCTTACACCCCCCCCCTCCCCCCGGTTAAAATCAGTAAAATACAGCAATAGCTGCAGGTATAAAACAACAGTAATCAATCTCAGTCATGTAACGTGCTTGGTGAAATATATGGGTCCCCACGTATATTCATTAAAGGAATCAAAATACAAAGGATTGCCAGGGGGGTGGGGGGGTGGGAATGTTTTCAATTGTGTACAGAAGGCCTGATCTTCCTCAGAAAGGCATTCTAAAGACTGGGGGCCACCACCGAGAAGGCCCTCTCTCTCGTCTCTACCAACCACACTTGAGACGGAGGTGGGACCAAGAGGAGGGCCTCCCCGGTAGACCTTAGCACCTGTGCTGGTTCATAGAAAGAGATGTGGTCTCAAAGACATACTGGACCTGAAGAATATAGGGCTTTATAGCTAATAACTTTTAAAAGCGTAAAAAGTAGAAAATAATTAACAGCCACTGCATGTCTTTCATAGACTCATAGAGTTGGAAGAGACCACAGCAGACATCCAGCCAGTTCCCCTGCATGCAGAAATATATAAGCAAAGCACTCCTGGAAGATGACCATCCAGCCTCTGCTTAAAAACCTCCAGAGAAGGAGACCACCATATTCTGAGGCAGCATGTTTAACCGTCAAACAGCTTTTGCCATCAGGAAGTTCTTCCTAATATTAGCCTTCTCTTTTCCAAGCTAAACATATTGAGCTCCCTAAACTGCTCCTCAAAGTTGGAACAACGTAATTTGATACCATATACCAACTCAGCTCTATTTATTTGGAAGTAATTCCACTTTGCTTCAATAGCACTTGAATATAAAAGAAGGAGGCTGACTGAATGACTCTTTAGATAGTGTTGGAGTGAAGCTCTCCTCACTTGGGGCTAATGAGAGCTGCAATCCAACACCACTTGGAGAACTGCAAATTCCCTATCCCTGCTAGAAAATGACTGCATTGGGAAGCACAGCAAACACTGAAACCATCTTAGTTGGTAAGAGACATCTGGGACAAATTTGCTTAAATAATGCAGGCATTGTGGCTCCTAAAATTGTTTTTCATTCTTTCTTGGTGGTAATGGTGGAGAGAGTAGAATTTCTTGGTGTTAGTGACAGGGAGGGTATGTGCGGAGCTTCGGGAAATGGGTGTCTCCATTTTACACAGCCGAATTTCCTTCTCAGGGTACACTTAGAAATATCTATGCTAGTGCTGGCCTATTAAACCCTTCTCACCTAAATCTTCAACCACAGGTCTCACGGAGTCAATTTAGCTCTTTGGTCCAATACAGATTATTTGAAAATGTGCCAACTCATTGAGGAGGAGGAATATAAGCAAATATATTCAAATAAGTTACCACTCTATCAATTTTTGGACCAAAATTCTAACTGACCACAAGATTAAGAATATGCAAAACCATACACTCTTGCTGCAAATAATAAACTCACAGAAAATCAGCCTAATGGAGAAGCGGCATGACGGTGACAGTCATTTTCCTAAAGGTACCATTAAGTGGGTGGTAGATTCAAAATCCTTTGTTTAAGATCTCAATTCAGCATTTTGAATTATAGTTCTAAATATGACATAGCCATAGATATATTTTTAGCTTTTTCACACACTGCTTCAATGCATACTTTCTCTTCAAATCCACGAATGAGCCTGAACTAAGGTATTCAGACAACAGAAAATATGTTTGTACAGCAATGTCACACAAACCATTTTCAAGGAAATAAAAGTGTAGTAAAATGTTAAGTAGAAATAGTCACTGGAATGGGAGCAGCAGCTTTTTGTTGTTCCACGCACATTATTGCTCTGCTGGTATAACAAATGGTGACAAAGCAACGCTGTGAGCTATTCCTGTTTAACTATGAATTCCAGAACCGCAGTGTTGGGAGATTCTGGCAGGTAGAGTCTCACTTATTCAACATAAACGGGTCGACAGAATGTCAGATAAATGAAAATGTCGGATAATACGGAGTTTCCTGCTATTACCCGTCCTACATGGCATTAGACACCTAGAATACTAACAACAGGCACTCAAAGTGTTAAGGCAAAGCAACATCACGGGGCTAGGGCGGCCCAGCAGGAAGTGCCTGGATGTAGAAATCACAGAGGGAAGGAGGGAGGATGCTTCCGGTTCTGCCTCTTTTCTCTCTTTCCCTCCCTCCCTCCTTCCTTCCTCCCTCCCTCCTCCTCTTCCTCATCTTGCCCTTTTCACTTATTGGGAATGGAGAAAGATTTGGGGAGCACTCCTTTAATTGAAGGGGAAATGCTGGAGGAAAAGGGGGGTGTTGGATAAGAGCGCCAGATAAGACGGAATGTCGGATAAGCGAAGGTTGGATAAGCAAGACTGTACTGTATTATTATTCCTGTGGGCAGCCATATTTCTC